CAAGGCATACAGAGAGAGTGTAGAGAAGAGATTTGAAAAAATGCTTGACGTCACCACTCCTGAAGCTGAAATAGCGGCTATTGCGGCATTATCCTACCCAAGATTCAAAAATAAATGGTTGACTTGTTTTGAGCCCGCGGATCGTACCAAGATTCTAAAAGTTTTCAAGACCTGCATTTCCGAAAAAAATAGTGGAAATATAGTAGCGACAGTGGCAAAAACAAAAAGTACCAAAGAAAACCTTTTTTTCAATTTTGACTCTGACAGTTCAATCTCAGAAAAAAACGCATGCTCCTCCGATGCACCAATGAATAAAGCAGAACTTTTGATGCTGCATTTTTTTGCAGAGGAAAGCCAAGATTTGCAACTACTCAATAGATATCCTGAGATAAAAAGTGTTTTTATTCAATACAACACACCTTTACCATCGTCAGCTGCAGTTGAACGCCTTTTTTCTTTTGCGACAATGACAAATTTGCCAAAGAGTCACAAATTGTCGGACAGCATGTTCGAGAAGAGAGTGGTACTGAAATGTAATTTAAATTATTACAAGAAATTATAAATTATCATTGTCTATCTAATCATGCTTAATTAAAGTTATTGATGATCATTTGCATCAGTCTTTTATTTGTTGCTAACATGTGTATTTAAATAGTTCAATAGTTATATTGTACCTGCGTCCACGTCCCTCGCAGGCCTGTACAGTATATTATATAACAGTTTATTATGCACCAGTATTTTTTTTATTTGTTAGATTAATTAAATTTCTCTAAACAATTAATTAATTGTTAATTTGAAAAGTGCAATTAACAATTAATTAATTGTTAATTAGAAAAGTGCAATTAACAATTAATTAATTGTTAATTGTATGAATACAATTAACAATTGATTAATTGTTAATTGTAAAAATACAATTAACAATTGATTAATTGTTAATTGTGAAAATTACAATTAACAATTAATCAATTGTTAATCTTTAATAAATCATTTTAATTAATATTTGCCCAACACTGCTAGGAGCCACCCAACAATGGGAAGTAAATTTGACCAGTGTAGCCCTTCCTATTGAAGTATAACCACCACCACTACTAGTAGCCACCCAACAATGGGAAGTAAATTTGACCAGTGTAGCCCTTCCTATTGAAGTATAACCACCGCCACTACTAGGAGCCACCCAACAATGGGAAGTAAATTTGACCAGTGTAGCCCTTCCTATTGAAGTATAACCACCACCACTACTAGGAGCCACCCAACAATGTGAAGTAAATTTGACCAGTGTAGCCCTTCCTATTGAAGTATAACCACCACCACTACTAGGAGCCACCCAACAATGGGAAGTAAATTTGACCAGTGTAGCCCTTCCTATTGAAGTATAACCACCACCACTACTAGGAGCCACCCAACAATGGGAAGTAAATTTGACCAGTGTAGCCCTTCCTATTGAAGTATAACCACCACCACTACTAGGAGCCACCCAACAATGGGAAGTAAATTTGACCAGTGTAGCCCTTCCTATTGAAGTATAACCACCACCACTACTAGGAGCCACCCAACAATGGGAAGTAAATTTGACCAGTGTAGCCCTTCCTATTGAAGTATAACCACCACCACTACTAGGAGCCACCCAACAATGGGAAGTAAATTTGACCAGTGTAGCCCTTCCTATTGAAGTATAACCACCGCCACTACTAGGAGCCACCCAACAATGGGAAGTAAATTTGACCAGTGTAGCTCTTCCTATTGAAGTATAACCACCGCCACTACTAGGAGCCACCCAACAATGGGAAGTAAATTTGACCAGTGTAGCCCTTCCTATTGAAGTATAACCACCACCACTACTAGGAGCCACCCAACAATGGGAAGCAAACTTGACCAATGTAGCCCTTCCTATTGAAGTATAACCACCGCCACTACTAGGAGCCACCCAACAATGGGAAGTAAATTTGACCAGTGTAGCCCTTCCTATTGAAGTATAACCACCACCACTACTAGGAGCCACCCAACAATGGGAAGTAAATTTGACCAGTGTAGCCCTTCCTATTGAAGTATAACCACCGCCACTACTAGGAGCCACACAACAATGGGAAGTAAATTTGACCAGTGTAGCCCTTCCTATTGAAGTATAACCACCGCCACTACTAGGAGCCACACAACAATGGGAAGTAAATTTGACCAGTGTAGCCCTTCCTATTGAATTATAACCACCACCACTACTAGGAGCCACCCAACAATGGGAAGTAAATTTGACCAGTGTAGCCCTTCCTATTGAAGTATAACCACCGCCACTACTAGGAGCCACCCAACAATGGGAAGCAAACTTGACCAGTGTAGCCCTTCCTATTGAAGTATAACCACCACCACTACTAGAAGCCACCCAACAATGGGAAGTAAATTTGACCAGTGTAGCCCTTCCTATTGAAGTATAACCACCGCCACTACTAGGAGCCACACAACAATGGGAAGTAAATTTGACCAGTGTAGCCCTTCCTATTGAATTATAACCACCACCACTACTAGGAGCCACCCAACAATGGGAAGTAAATTTGACCAGTGTAGCCCTTCCTATTGAAGTATAACCACCGCCACTACTAGGAGCCACCCAACAATGGGAAGCAAACTTGACCAGTGTAGCCCTTCCTATTGAAGTATAACCACCACCACCACCACAACTAAGAGGAATGTGGAGAACCACTATCTATCCCACTATCAGCCATGATAGGGAGGGATATACCTCGTTGCTGCACCAATGTATAAACAGCTAGGAATAAAACAAGCTGGTTTTGTTTCTCTTATACAAAATATGATAGGGGAAAGGAGAGAAAGTCATTATAAAGAGACAAGGCAAGATATATTTACTGTATAAATTCAATGAAAGTGTTCCTAAGATTTTAAAAGTATGCTTATCACATTTTGCCAATCTAGTGTTATATACCTATCCCCCGATTTACACGGTAGATACGTTACTGAGAAAAACGTGTAAATCGGGGGATAGGTGTACACAGAAATAAAAATAAAATGCATTGACAAGTTAAAATATGTAGTCAGCCCATATGCTCGGAAATCCTCGTGATATGTGTACACAGCGCATGTGTTCAATCACAGTAGCATTTAGTATAGTGCAATTAAAAACAAAAAAAAAAAAACTTATTTGGAAAACCGTGTAAAAGTGAAAACGTGTAAAACAAGTATCGTGTAAATCGGGGGATAGGTGTACTGTACTTTAAGGCATGTTTCCCTCTAATAATGATGGCATTAATACATCCTATACTACTGCACTTTAAATAGAATCAATTGTTAGTTTTCCAATCTTGGAATACTTACCCCTCTTCTGATCAAACCATTGCCCCAATAATACCCTCTATCACATGGTATATATCTTAAGCTATCAAAAATATTATTGTGTCAAGAAGTAATTTGATGAGTCTGATAGTGACAAGGTGAAAAGGCCTACAAGAAAAAAGAAAAAAACACACATTTCAATTGGAAGGGTAAAAGATTTTCTTCATCTTGTCAAAAATGTCAAGGAGATCAGTGAAGACCTTGGGTAGAGCATGAGGGTCATAACCAAGGAGATGGGCATATGACAATTGACAGAACCATTCACAAAGACCTTGGTTTCAAGTCCTCTGCCCTTCAGAAATGAAGAAAACAGAAAAGGAAAGGCTGCTGCTCTCCACAACATCCTGAAGCATGAGACTTGTGGCATGCTGAGGTTCTGGAGCAATCTCAGTAAAGATCTTTGGGTCTGTAAATGAGGCATCTAAGATTCCCTGCTTCAGCACCCCGGAGACATAAATAGCGAAAGAGATGTCTCAACCTGGACCTTTTCAAACTGGACCTCAGGATGAACCCACATCAGTGTCCTGGTTGGACATGGTGGCTGCTGGCATGTTTTCTAACAGGACTCAGCTCCAGTTCATAAGACAAGGAAGACAAAGGCAGGCTGACACTTAACACCCCCTGTCCCGATGTTTTGCCTCCCAACTCTGCAGACAGCAACCCTCTTTGCTACTATGTACAGGATGTTGTTAAGAAAGATATCAATAAATCTACCCATAAAACACCATCCAATATGTAAAGGATGTGTGGTGATCCAAATGGTCAAAGTCATCATCACCAAGGCCTGTGCTTCCTTCGGCACTCTCCTTTCTGTCGTAGTAGTCTGCTGTAGTTAATGATGGAGTCAATAGAGAATTTCGTGGCAACGGCACCCATTTTACAATGATAAGCAAAACCAATATCTCCAACAATGCTACCGCGTCCAGGATAACTGCCGCTTCAGGAGCTGCAGCCCGGACTCCTAATGAGAAACCTACTACAAGGACAATCAGCTCAATATAAATGGCACCCAGAGGAAAACTGAAGAGCTGACTTGTCTTCTCCGTGACAACAATGTGTATATTACTTGTCTTCAGGAGACAAAACTGAATCAGAATCTGAGATTCAATATCAAAGGTTATTGAGGCTCTTTTTTTTTTGCTTATCCCTAGTACACGTGGTACAGGCCATGATAATCATGGTGGGTAGTTAGCGACTGCTTTTACTGTAAGCGCACCACATGTCTACACATGTGAAAAGCAGTTCGACTTTGCACTTACAAATGTACCAGAGCCCCGTTTGGTTACTTGCACTTCTGGTGGAGTTGGACTTTTGCAAGAATCGGGGGGCCATTGGAGCATTTTTTTTTGTCCAATGCGGGAATCGAACCCGGGTCGTAGTAGTCGAAAACCAAACGGTTTAACCAGCCTTCCACCGACCCCCCATTGAGGCTCTTCATTGGACACGACAACAACAATAGTGATTAAATCAAAATGACATCCAATATAATACACTGCGGCCTGTAATTGTAAAACGACACTTGAAGTTACACCGCATGAGTTTCTTTTCAACGAAAAATCAAATTTTTATTTCAAGGTGAAATATCGACTATTTCTAACCTTTTTGGATGAAGTATGAAAGGATGAATCATGAAAAGTAATGATGAATGGAAAAATAAAAGTGTCCATGGATGAGAATTGAACCCACCATGTTCCGCTTACCATGTAGATGCCATGTCCACTAGGCTACCCTGGACGTATTTTCCCGTTCTTAAATGATACATAAAGTAATTTATAATACAATATAATGCACTGCGGCCTGTGATTGTAACTTCAAGTGTCGTTTTACAAAATGACATCCTTCAAACAACTACTGTGCCAATTATATATTTACAATACATTGATGTTTCACTTGCCATAAAAGTTGACTAGAAACCTACTCAACCCCCTGTAATAGAAGCAAAAAACTATGCACCATCTGCCTCTGCAGACTCATAACAAAGTCAAAATGCTTGCTGTGGTTTCATGCTAAGGCTGTCTGGAGCAGGCCTTAATTATTTCATGAGATCTACCAGGAATTCATTAAATAGCACATAGGCTTATTTATTTTAATGGGGGGAAACAAGTCTTTCTTTTTTTTTTTTTGGATTAATATCCTTCCATAAAAATGGCCATCAACATAAAAAATATTTATTTAGTCTTGTTACCTTGTGAAACATGTAAATAAACTTCCTTCACAAAACATCATAAAACCAAACACAAGGTAATAAGACCAAATCCAAATAAATAAATAGTGTGTGACGTTTCTGATGTTTTGTCTGAAGATGGTAACAACGCTGTTACCGAAACGTCACACACTATTTATTTATTTGGATTTGGTCTTATTACCTTGTGTTTATAATCTATAATCCAAATTGTGCCTTATCAATCATAAAACCAAATCTATCAACTATGTGTTTTGATTCCAATATGTTGGCAATTCTGCCATTGGAAGACGCATCATTGGCAGGATCATTGTGGACCACATGATCTTGAAATACGAGGAGTCTGCCTGCGTCTGCTACTGCTGCTTGTGGCTAAGGCTATAATGCCGATAGGTACACCCAGGCTACGGTCACCTGCTTCCACTGCGCTTCTGGTGACCACCAAGGCCGAAGCTGTCCAACTCTTGCCAACCCGCGCATGGCCAAGTGCGCAAACTGCTCAGCCAAGGGCCTCTCTGGCGACCATGAGGAAAGATCAATGTCTTGCCCAACTGCCAGAGCTAGAGCTGCAAAGTTCTAGTCCTCCCGCCCTCTTCCTGCCTCCTGACCTCTGCGGACCCTATCCGGCCTAACCTGCCTCTTCCCTGACGGAGATCCTGTCCCTAGCCTCCCCAGCCTGGTCATAGTACTTTGCATATATTCCACTTTACGCTGCCATTGGGGCTCAAAAATCATTTTATTTTGGTTAGCAGCCCCGTAAATAAAGTTATTTCCAATTCTGCCTGAAAAACATTGATCTGTAACAAGAATGGCCAAAAGAATAAACACAAAACAAAATATCTACACAAAATAGGTTTGGTAGATGGTTTATTTTTATGGGAGAGGTGACATTTCAGAGTGTGTGTGTAGTGCTAGATTACCAGAGTTTGAAGTTACCTCTCAGTGACAAAGTAAGCAAACTTGAGTAGCAACAGAACCTGCATGTTATCACACTAACTATCCTCTGGTGACAATGCTATGTTCACCTGTAAATATGTAAATCCCTCGCTTTTTTACTTTTTTCATAGCATGTAAATTTCCCTTACTTTTTTCATAGCATGTAAATTTCCCTTACTTTTTTCATAGCATGTAAATTTCCCTTACTTTTTCCATAGCATGTAAATTTCCCTTACTTTTTCCATAGCATGTAAATTTCCCTTACTTTTTCATAGCATGTAAATTTCCCTTACTTTTTTCATAGCATGAAAATTTCCCTTACTTTTTTCATAGCATGTAAATTTCACTTACTTTTTTCATAGCATGTAAATTTCCCTTACTTTTTTCATAGCATGTAAATTTCCCTTACTTTTTTCATAGCATGTAAATTTCTCTTACTTTTTCCGCTTATAAAATTGGCACTTTTGTTTCCTGCCCAGTTGTAACCTGAAGAAGGGCATTCTTGCCTGAAAGCTTGTGTTTTTACCATTAAAAGAAAATCACCACGTTTTTATCGCCTTCATTTCAAATATTTTTGCGTGGCTACGTCATGTCTGATCCTAACTTTGAATATATTGCTTTTTAACATTAAAAAAAAATCACCATGTTTTTATCGCCTTCGTTTCAAACTAAAACAGTTTGATCTTGTTCACAAGTGTAGAATGAAGGAAAGGCTGGAACATGCTGGGACCAGGACTTACTATGCTGGCTTGGGAGGAGGACTTTTTCTTGGAGGTGGTGGGTTTGGCCTTGTTGGTGCCCGGGTGGGTGACTGTCACCTGCTTGGGTCGGTGGATGTCCGCCAGGGAGCCTGCGCTCAGCTTCTTCTCCTGCACATACACACACCTATCTACCTATCCTTCTTTGTAACACCGGGTCTACACATGCTGAGAAGGTACGGATAACTAACTGGAACAAAACTCCGCCTATGCCGGTCCCAAGCCCGGATGAAAAGGAGGAGGGGGAGCAGTAACAAGCTCACTAAAAAACCTGGGCTCAGCTGGCCCGGCTGATAGTACCCTGTAAGGACTCCTAATCCAGGGATATAGGATGAGCAGTGTTTGTACTCCATGTTAGGAGCGACTGCACATGGCGTCTGTTCCTCATGTCAGAGGCGGCCATTTCTTTTGGAGCTAAGTCGGCCTGCCACTGAGTAGTGCTCCCAGTCTTAATGACAAAGGCATTCTACTTCACCCAGTCATGATGGTTGTCAAATACCATCAAGGGTCACAACTTGATACCCTAATGATTGAGTGGAGATAAGAAAGAAGAAGAAGAAGACCTGGAACAACAGAGAGGTTACTCATGAGAAGGCCATCTGAAGACAAATCACCATTGTAATCCAAACCTCCAATGAGAGACCAGAAGTATCCATGTTTCTAACCTGGGAGGTTGTTTATTCTACATTAATCTGGAAGTGCTATAACCAACCTTTTTGAAAGGTCTATTGAATCTTTGCTTTCAAACACCACATATGGAACACAGCAACACTATGGAATTCATTGTAAACTAACTTGTAAAATTTTTCCCATTTGGAATTCCTTTTTATTTTCATCCAAATTTTTATAACTCACAGTTCATCACAAATCATGGTAATTTTGGAGAATTTCTGGCAAAAATCGGGCAACGGATGATTCTAGCTTTTTTTTTTTCACATTTGGAATTCCTTTTTATTTTCGTCCAATTTTTTTATAACTCACAGTTCATCACAAATCATGGTAATTTTGGAGAATTTCTGGCGAAAATCGGGGCAACGGATGATCCTAGCTGCTTGTGGAAAAGAAAACCAAAACTCAATACATTTATTAATAGAACGTCCAATATTTCACAGCTACAGAAGTAATCATTTTTATCCCATCAAAGCAATGTGCAAATTTGTATATAACAAAGACACCTAGGTAAAATTCAATAATTTTTGTAAATTCATTTTAGATTTTCTTTTCTGTTTGAGAAAACCAACCTTTCAGTTTTAATTTTGTTTTTAGTCTTGTTTATTGAATTGAATATAAAATGAATTGTATATAAGTTGCTAAAATGTATTTAGATGGAAATTTTGCCGGGAGGATATTGATCTAAAGAGACAAAGGTCGCCTCTCCCGTCAAAATAGATGTCAAAACTAGATGCCATCTATTGACCGTCGTCGCAAACTAGCGGTTTCGGGTCGGTGACAAAGCCACAACACCAGCTTTGGCAAACTGAAAAGCGTCCACCTAGAGACCATGGTTTTGGGCTAATGGCCCTCGTCAGTCTAGGGCGTCATTAGCCCGAAACCATGGTCTATAGGTGGACGCTTTTCAGTTTGCCAAAGCTGGTGTTGTGGCTTTGTCACCGACATGAGACCGCTAGTTTACGGCGACAGTCAATAGATGGCGTCTAGTTTTGACGTCTATTTTGACGGGAGAGGCGACCTTTGTCTCTTTAGAAAATGTATTTAGGCGCAAGTATCCCAAGCTGGGATATCGATATGTCAAATAAACTAACCATAGAACCTAGTATATTGTGATTTAATTGGTCAGAGCAACATTTATTATTTCAGGAGAATCAGTCTAATGTACCTCCTCAATCAGGCCAATGAAATCCATCAATAGCCAGAGTCTAGGGGTAAGATGTTGCCCAGATGGCTTATTCACAATTGAGAAAAATAGCGTTTCCACCCATGCCTTCCATATGGGGTTGAACTAACAGTAGGCCTATCTGGCCCTTCCAAAGTCAGCTTCAAAGGCAAGTGAAGGCCCTCCTCCAGATTAGGTAGAGTGGAGACTTTTTCTGGTTTCAAGCACCATCATATGTCTTGAACACTCAATATTAATAATATTGCCATAACACTAATTTTCCAGTGCTTCTTAGACTTGACTAGGTTCTCAAAATGGGTAAATAATATAAATTACATTGATATGGCACAATTTGGATTATAGATTATAAACACAAGGTAATAAGACTAAATCCAAATAAATAAATAGTGTGTGATGTTTCGGTAACAGCGTTGTTACCATCTTCAGATAAAAGTACTGAATGAGTGGATAAAATTTCTCATTCAGTATTTTTTTCTGAAGATGGTAACAACGCTGTTACCGAAACGTCACACATTATTTATTTATTTATTTGGATTTGGTCTTATTACCTTGTGTTTATAATATAAATTACACTCATGGACAAAACTTAAGGAAGTTTTTACCTTTCAGCATGTATATCTGGATTGAGACAATAACTCTGAAAGATATTACAGTGACCTTTATTGAAGACACACGAGATAACCAATATACACTCATGGAAGTTGTACCTTTCAGCATGTATATCTGGATTGAGACAATAACTCTGAAAGATATTACAGTGACCTTTATTGAAGACACACGAGATAACTAATATACACTCATGGACAAAACTTAAGGAAGTTTTTACCTTTTAGCATGTACATCGGGATTGAGACAATAACTCTGAAAGATATTACAGTGACCTTTATTGAAGGCACACGAGATAACCAATATACACTCATGGACAACCCTTAAGGAAGTTGTACCTTTTAGCATGTATATCGGATTCAGACAAATAACTTTGAAAGATATTACAGTGAGCTTT